TGTGGAAAGTCTCCAGAACGTTATTCTTGCTCTTCCATTTGTGGGAAACATCTACCATTTTTTCCTTTCTTGTGAATTTCGACTTAAATTTAAAACTCACTAAGAGATCAATCTCTGAGAAGGCTTTTATGAGAGTAAAAATATGTCCCTGCACTGTTGTTTCTGCGTGAAAAAGATGGCAGTATGTTTCCACAAAGATTAAAGCCTGGAGATCCCGTGGGCAGTTCTAGTCTATCCTACAGGGTCACTATGCGTAAGAATCTCTGAGAACAGTGTATTTTTTTGTTTGTTTGTTTTTGGTACTGTTATTTGCTTTGTATAAATCCTAAGCTGAAACTCTTGCTATTGAATTGATTCTGAGTCATTGTAAACCATTAAGACAGAAGCAACTGCCCCATAGAGGTTAGCAAAACACACAGAAGCAGACCACTACCTGTTTCTCTTGGTGGGCCTGCATCACCTGCTTCGAGTTAGCAGTTGAGCTCTCAGTCACTGTGCACCCAGAGCTCCTTTTTGCTTGTGAACATATTCTTTTTTTTTTTTTGCACAATTCTCTATGAGCTGTTGTGTTTGCTTTCAGAGGTCCATGGTTACATTCCCTGAGACTTTGTCTCATCTCTGTATGTCATTAAACACTTTTTAAAGTAATGTGAAAAAATAGAGAATAACCACGTGGGAAAAAAATGTTTATCTCAAAATAGTGAATGCTTGCTTGAAGATTTTCCTCTGAAATGGAATGAGCTACAGATAAATCAGCTTAACAGTGTTTTATAAACCCAGTTCTTAATTTCTTCAGAAGAACAGTGTCAGTGTTTTGACAAATGGTTTTCAAGGAATGTTTGTCTTCATAAATTTTCCCTTATGTGGTACACTGTAGACTCTATAATCTTTGCCTACATTTAGTTGTTTTACTAAGAAAATTACTTTGTGACATTTCCAGACACTGATTGAAACTATTATGCTAGCTTCACTGGTGACATAATAAATAATTTGAACAGCTCTTTGCTCATGCGTGTCAGAGGTGATGAAGATGGCACAGGAGAGGACAGGGTTTAGATCTGCTGTTCATGGCATCACTGTGAGTTGTACCTGCCTGACAGCACTTAACAATAACAACTTTGCCTAAGGGAGAGTTTTGTAAGGAGTTGTACAGTCAACTCAAAGGCATGAAGTTCAAATTCTCTGTGGGAGAGAAATGGGAATTTACTCTGTGAGATTTAGTACTTTTGAAAATCTGCTGGAAGATCAGTTATGAGTCAGTTCCAACTTGAAAGTACGGAACAATACAATAACAACAATTGAGGGTATATATTATTTTCCTTCCCAGTGGCTGTTTCTTTTTCTTATCTTTCTTTCTCGTGTGTGTGTGTGTGTGTACCGTCAAATCGGATCTGACTGGTACAGGAGGAGATTGCACCTCCTTCTCCAGTAAAGCATCTGGTGGATTCGAACAGCCTACCTCTGAGATTGCAGTGCAGCTTCTTGCCAGTAGGCTACCAAAGCTCCCTCAATGACAGTTTCTAACAACACTTGCAAATTTTCCTTTGGGAATACCCACCTCTCTGTCTCTCAGTTTTTCTGTCTGGACAGAACACATCACTCAGATTCTTACATTACTCTGGACAGTGGTTGTTTCCGTGTTGAAACAACACAGTTCCCTCTGATCCAGTGCTCCTAGGCCCACCAAGTCACAGTGAATCTTAGAACTTTTGTGGGAGCTTTTGGAAAATATTCTTTTTCCAAAAGAAAAAAGGTACTCTTTTTTCTTAGTGGACTTTAGCCTGGGAAGAAGTAAGAAATACTGCTTCCATGTAGTCCCACAGGAAGAGAAATCTTGTGAGACTGAAGGTAATAATACATAGGCAGTATGGCCAAGAAATAGGGTGAAACCACTTTCTAACAATATCATTTGTGAGTGCTGTGTCTAAAGTCCATCTACCTCAACTTTTCAGTCAGATATATCAAGAAATTCCTTTTTTTGTTTAATTTGAGGTGGAATGACAAAACATCAATTGATGTAAATCTTTAGGACTTTCCCCTCTTCTTACACAATTCTAAAATGTCAAAAAATAATTATTTTCATTCTGGAATGCATCTCCGACTGTCTTTCTTTGAGTTTTCCACACATTGATCAATGATATTTACATCCATCAAATTCATTCACCCATAAAACTGGCCTTCATCTTTAATGGTTCTTTCTTCATGACTTTTAAAACTATCAGGTTTAATATCTACCTAGAATCTTCTAATTCCTCCACTTTGTCTATTTCTGGTATTCCTTGGAGAGGGACATCATGTTTGGAAAGGTGGAGTATTGGTAAAAGAGAAGAAGATCCTTGACGTATGGATTGACATAGGGACTTGAGCAATGGGCTCAAGTCAAGTGCGTCAGAGATGATGAGGATGACACATGGTTCAGCTCTGTTGTTCATAGAGTTGCTACGAGTTGTACTCCACTTGATGATACCTAAAAGCAACTACTTTCATAAATTGTTAACTTTAATTTACTAATATTTCATTAAGGATTTTTTTGCATCTATTGTTGATGAAAACATTTTTAAATTGTTGTTTTAAGGCTATACATTTCCCTCGAAGAACAGCTTTCTATGTAGTTCAAATATTTTGATTTGGTGCTTGTCGGCCTTGATATCCACAATGAACATCAGTATGTTGTTATCTTTTATCTTCTTGGCTGACTCAATGGTCAGGGGAAACTTGATGATGACATAATAGTCAAGCTTGCTATTCTTGGGGGCGCTCTTCCTGGGTGTTTGGGCTGCCTTTGGAAACTCAGCATTGTGGGGTATGGGAAGGTAAGTGAAGTGTGGACCTTTTTTTGTTGTTGTGGATGCCCGTTAGGATTGCCTTCTTGGCATTGAATGCCTTTGCTTTGGCTTCAGTTTTGGGAGGGGCAGGGGCTTCCTTCTTCTTCACTTTCAGATTCATCTTTGTAGAAAAGGTTATTACTTAGAATTTTTACACAATTAATATCTAAGGACTTCTTTGCAATGTAAGAACTTGTGACTTGTAGATATGAGAGTAATGGATAAAAGGAGGTTATACTGTCAGTTTAAAAATATCAGCGAACTTTGAAATCTAATATTTACCATGGACTAGATGGTATTCTAAGTCCTTTAAATATAGTAACTCATTTAATTCTCACAACCCATTATAAGTGAGACAACAGAGAAGGTAAGTAATTTCCAAGGCTGGCTTGGTGACATAAGCAGAAAGATTGGTGGTTTAAGCATCCAGAGGTACCTCAGAAGACAGACATGGTGGTCTGCTTCTAAAAGATTAGCAAAGCAAGCACAGGATTATTTGTGTTTACTTACTAATTGGTAGTGAACATCATGTAAAAGAGTGTGCATCTATGTATAGCTGGTGTCTGTCTCTCAAGACCCGATAGCATCTTCCTAGAATCAAAGCATCTTTCCAAATTTGCAATCTCTGACAGGGATGAACTGTGCAGCAAACAGGGTAGGTAGTTCTTGTTTACTGGATGTGTCTACTTCACTTGTTGGATGATCCATTCCATCCACGAAGCAGTTCTACTTTGTTCAAACGGGATTGACCTGAGTCAGAATTGACTCCACAGCAACTAACAAGTAATTCGCCCAAGGCAAGAAGGCAGGTTCAACCTTGTACTCAGGCATCCTAGTTATAGAGCTTAATCCTCAACAGTCAGTTTCCTCGCACAGATTCTAATAGAAGCCAAAGCAAAGGTCACAGAGGTTCTGAGAGATCGGGGCACAGCAGTCCAGCCAGTGGACACTGCCTGAGCCAGCTGATGTGGAGGCTGTCTTCTTGGCCAGTGACACCAGTTACAGAGAAGCCACTGGAGAAGTGAGATGCCTGTCAGGGTGGTGCCAGCTAAATGTGCCAGAGCTGGTTTCTCTGGGCAGACAGGAGTTGCACCACAGAAGGCAGCTACAGAGGAGGCGCTGAGGAGACAGGTCACTCTTCAGGCACTTGGAGGAAACTAGGAAGTTTTGTAAATTATCTCCTCTGAAATCAACATGCTCAGCTTTCAGAATAGATGTTCTCTACCTGGAGGTGTTTCAATAGGCAGTTTGGTCAATTACTCCTCCACTTATACCTTTAGTTCATTCCCCACTCGTATTTTCCAAGGACTGGGTTTCTCTGCATCCTCAGGCTGGAAGAAGTACGCATAAATCTTTGGAGAATAGTTAAAAGCTGTAATGCCTCTCTACCACCATCTTTCAAAGCACCTGAAATGCACAGGAGCCTTCAGCTTTGGGGAAAATGGGAGCAGTCTGGAGACTCTGCCTTTGAAAGACCTGTTTGTGCTTTCTCTCTTTATTTACCAAGTATGTGTGCTAGAAGGAGTGTTACAACTTGTGCTGCTAGCTAAAAGGTGAGTGAGAAACTACTTGATGACAGGGGTGTGCAGGAGTCCCTGTGTGGTGAAAACAGTTAATACATTCCTCTCTTACCAAAATTTAGTGGTTCAAGTCCACTTAGTGATGCCTTGGCAGAAAGGTCTGGTCACCTGCTTTTCCTGGGCAGGAAGGTTCTACTCTGACACACACAAGGGCACCGTGAGTCAGAATTGCGCATAAGACACTGAACAGATATTAATGCTCTAAGCAACCCTGAGAGTAGGCACTACCTTTAGTTCTATTTTCTAGTGAGTGAATTGAGGCACAGTGTTTGAAATTAGAAAATATGCCCAGAGTTTTCTAGTTGGTATAGAGCAGTGACATGATTCACAGCCAGGCAGTCCATCAGCAACAGCCATGCTTTAAACTTACAAATAGACGCATCTTTCCAACATCTCCTTTCCCCCATGACAAGAAGCTATGGTTCTGCCATTCACAACAGTTGCCCACATGGTATCTGACCTCAAAACCCAGCTCTGCCACTAACCATGTAAGCCCTCAGTTTCTTTCTCATCATCTGGAAGATGAAAAGAAGCCCGTGGCCTTCAAAGTGTTCCCATCCCTCTCAGAGACCCCACTCCTGCCTGGGAAACTTACAGATGCGGAAGTACTCTTCTCCGTAGCTCTCCCGGGTCTCCTGAGGCAGCCGTTCCCATAGCTTTTGCAAGCGGGTCTCCAGATTCTCATTGCCCAGAATGGATGTCCGATAGTTTCCTGGTTCGATGATGCTGACTTTTACCCCAAAATAATGGAGCTCTCGCCTTGGAAAGAACAGTAGGGAAGACTCAGTATGAGGTCCCAAGATGACAGAGGGTTGTCAAGAAGGGTCACCTCTGACACTTTGGAGAAACTTGTGCACAATTCCACCTCTGCACCAAGTCAAGCATTGTTCACATGAAAATAAGGCCTTTCTTTTCTTCTCCCTCTTTTTAAAATTATTATTAATTTTAATGAAAGTTTACAGAGACTTTGGATTTCCATTAATTCATTATTGCACTTTTAATAAGGCCTTTCTTAGATTTCCTGCCCTTTACTAAGCCTGGCCTACAGTGGCTTAGCAGCTTTCTGTAGGCAAATCTAGAGGAGTGGAAGCTAACTAACGAATCTAGGCCAAGGCTTTGCTCCTCATCATCTTCCTACTTCCCATTCCCAGCTTCACACTTAACTCCCACGAATGGGGCAGGGCGCCATAAAGGCAAATTGGCTGCCTCCATCACCACTCACTTCTTTATCTCGTCTCTTGGCCCTTGAGGAAAGTCCCTCAAAGTCTAGTCTTCTGTTTGCTACTGGTTTTGCTTCCTCCCTCCAGAATCCTCCTATTCACATGCTATCATTTCAGCCTCCTCTTCTTAAGATGAGCCCCTCAGGATTCCCACTTGGTAGACTGTACCAGGGCCCAGTTACCTTATGCTGTCAGAGAAGGCTTCAACACCAAACTTGGAGACACAGTAGCCACCACCGATGACAGCCACAAGACCACCAGAGCTGGACATGTTGACGACCCTGCCCCGGGCTTTCTTGATCATGGGTAACATGTGGAGGGTCACATGAATCAGTCCTACCAAGTTCACATTGATCACCTTCACAAAGTCCTTTATGGTCAACCATTCATTTGGCCCACTGGGAACACCTATTCCAGCATTGTTCACCAGGGCCCAGAGGCCTAGAAATGAGAGAGAGGGAAAGAGAACCAGAAAAGAAATCAGCAGTGTCCCTTGTCCACTACCAACCCACTCAGGGCTACAGAGTATGATTGTGAGCAGGTATATAAGAGAAAGGGCTTTGGCTGCAATGTCCGAGGCTATGATGACTGGAAGGTAAGTGTGCCTTATAAAATGGCACCTTTGTTTCATTTCCAAAAGTGTCTACTTGATAACTGGGGCTCTGCCAGCTACAATCCAGGCTTTGCTAATTTTGTTTTAGCTTAGTTGTTATTGTTGTTGTTTTGTATTGTTGAGTCAGAACTGACCCATAGCTGACCCTCTGGTGGGTTTTCAGTGACAATTAAGATTGCCTATCCTTCTCATATGGGGCAGCTGGTGGCCTCGAACTACATGCCTTTGGGATCGCAGTGTAGCTTCTTGCCACTATGCCATCAGAGCTCTCTTTAACTATTTGTTGTTGTTGTTATGTGCCATCAAGTTGCTTGAGACTCATAGCGACTCTATGTACAACAGCCCTAAACCCTGCTCTGTCCTGTGCCAGCCTCACTGTTTCTGACACACCTACCCCTGTTACTCCAGTCACTGAATCAATCCACCTCATAGAAGGTCTTCCTCTCCTGCGCTGTTCCTCCACCCTCCCAAGCATGAGGTCCCTTTCCAAGGACTGGTTCTTCCTTGTAACATGTCCAAAATATGTCACACGAAGCTTCAGAATCCTTGCCTCCAAGGAGCAGCCTGATTTAACCCTCTCCAGGATGAACCTGTTAGTTTTCTTAGCAATCCATGGTATATTCAATACTCTTCTCCAACACCACAGCTCAAAAGGTAGCAATTCTCCTTCTATCATCATGAGTCATTGTCCAGCTCTCTCTGATGCATAGCAAGTAATTGCAAAGTCTATGGCCTGAATCAGGTTCACCTTAGTCTCTAGGCTGACATTGCCACTCTTCAGTACTTTGAAGACGTTTCTGACAGTTGACTTTCCCAATGCAATTTGTCTTTTAATGTCCTGGCTACTGGTACCAAGAGTTGATCATGGAGCCAAGCAAACTAAAGCTGTTAACAATTTCAGTCTCTTCACCATCTACCATGATGCCGCCAATTGGCCCAGTGATGAGACTCTTTGTTTTCTTGATGTTGAGCTTCAATCCATATTGAAGTTACAGTCATTGACCTCTTTAGCTATTGTTGTTGTTGATTGCCATTTAGTCCGGCACGACTCATAGCAACCTTATGAACTATTAAAGAAGAGATATTTCATATTAACAAATTGGTGTTTAAAATCACTCCCCTCTTCTAAAACGTTCCTTTTTCTATTCACTCATGCATATGAAATTGTCTATGGCCCATGTTTTTCCCAAAGTCCATCCATCCATTTATTAATATCTTGACAAATTTATACATTTCCTCTATGTAAGTTATAGGGCAAGGTACTAGGGACATAAATAAGACAGAGTCTTATCCTTTGAGGAGCTAACAAGCCAGAGAAGAATAAAAACAAGTTCTAAATAAATATGCAAAATATTTATACAAACCAATTATGAAAAAGGTGATAATAGCTCTCTTTGAAATATTTAAACTACCATTCACAGTTACCATGGAGTCTTCTGATTCAAGGTGAATTCATTTATGCTGCAATAGAAGTGTACTCTATGACATTTTCAAATGGTCAATTTTAAAAAGTAGATTGCCGTTGACCATTATTGTAGAATGAGTATGAGTATCCAGGTGGTGGGGGGAAGGGTATAGGGGCGGGGGAGGAGCTTAATCATAGGGTCGCACAATTTGATGGATGGTGGGAAAGGTGGATAAAGGAAAGGGGAAAGATCTGGTGTGAATAACAATGTATATGAACTTTGCAAGTAAACCAGTATAAAATAATAATAATAATAATAATAAGAACATAAATAGTTAAAAAACAAAAGTAGATAGATCTTTTTTTCACAGAACTTCTGAGGGTACTGAAACCACCAGACTTTTAGTAGGTAGTCAAGCACTTTAACTGTTTCAACCATTCTGGGACTCCATATTTAAATTTCATAGGTATAAATGAAAGAAATAATGCCAGTGTTATAATTTAATGTGTAGGGCCCAGGGTCAAAGAGTCTCAAGTTCTAGTCCTGGTTCTACTGCTGGCCATGGACAGCTCACTTCCCCTGTGTGAGGCTCAGAATCTTCATTGGATTAGGCTACAACAGTTGTTTCCAGTATGTAATTTGAAAGCCTGAGGATCTGCTAGGAGAGAAAGACTTCAATAAGCTCCACTTTCAGTTGTTTTCCATATTGAGCTTCCAAACAAAATTGCAATTGGAGGGAGAGAGAGCTTGGTTGCTAAAAATATGTTGTAAAAGTCTCTATACAATTTCCAAGCTCCCTCCCAAATCTCTCATTCAGATATTCTGGAGCTCTTCTCATTTCCCACCTTAGCCTCTACTTTCCATTTTTTCCTAAAAGGAGGTGGATAGAGACATCAATTATAGCCTAACCTGGGATACCTACATAAGCCATGCTACCACCCTATCTTCTTTCCTCCTATTAGAGATCCTAGGAGACCAACTAGCTGATAAGGCTCAGAATTTACTCAGTTGGAGGGTATAATTTAATTTCACAAATGAAAAAAAATGAAGGATCCTGAGACTAAGTGCTCTCTGTCCATTGAGAGGGGATTCACTGTTACCACTGTCTCTGTCTGATCATCCCCACAACCTACTTTCAGAAAAAGATGCACCACTTGATTAAGAACTGAAGTGATATTCTTTTCTTCTGCATAAAGTAACTAAGGAAGTCTAAGACTATGCCAACCTGTCCTGTCCAGATACTTTCAGGGACAACAGGAAAGCAAGCAAGAACCATACCCCTAAATTCAGTCTCTAATATGGAGGGTAGAAAAATGTTTTAGTCTCTGCCACCTATGAATATAGATGATATAACCAATGGAAATTAAGATGAATTAAGGTTACCAATCAAAGGTTGCCAATGCAAAGGTGTGCAATTTGAATCCACTAGCTGCTCTGAGGGAGAAAGATGGGCAGTCTCCTCCTGTGTGATTTAGTGCCTCTGAAAACTTGCTGGACCCTTGGTTCTGACTTGTTGGTACACCACAACAAGAACAACTACTACTAAACTGACCAGGAAGCAGTGGTGTAGGCCATAGGGAGCTGTGCTGCTAATCCAAAGGCACTACGTCCCTGGCAGTTTGAACCCATCAGTGGCTCCATGGCAGAAAGATGGACAGTCTGCTCCCATTCGATTTACAGCCTTGGAAAATCCACTGGAGGGTCAGGTATGAGTTGATTCTGCCTAGATGGCAATGAGCGAGAACAACTGACCAGTGTGTTTAGGTAGCTATGGTAGCAGAGTCCCTAGAGAGTCCATGGCTAATCCAAAGGTTGTGTGTCTCAAGACGTTTGGCTCTACCAATGGCCACTCAGGTTAAGGGTTGGCAACTTCTCCATGTTAGGATTTATAGCCCCAGAAAGCCATTGAACAGTCACTGAACTCAGAACGAATATGACAGCAGTGAGTGTGAAGGCTTTTTAAATTTTTTGTTGTTTTGTTTTTAAAACAATCAGCAAACCTTAAAATCTAGGGGGGTTATCTTGGGTTGACCTATTGGGTCCTTCCTTATAAATTAAGAAGGAGATAGAAAGAGGGCCAGAAGGATTGTAGTGTGACCTTGCTGGCTTTGAATAGAGGAATAGGGCCATGAGTCAAGGAATGCGTAAGTTCTCTAAGACCAAAATAAAACTTGTTGCCATTTGATCAATTGAGTCATGGATATAAAATTGAGATCCCTGGTATTTTCTTGGTTGTAATGTTTATGGAAACAAATCATTAGGCTAACTTCTTTAACACTGATGGATGATTTCACACTGTCAAGTTTTGGGTTAGTAGCCAAGTACAAACTGCTTGTGTCACCCATAGACCAAGCAGGCTTCTATAAACTAGAAAAGACAAGAAAAGCATTCTTCCCCAGGACCTCCAGAATAAAACACAACCCTGTCAACCCCTTGATTTTAACTTGGTGAGATTTTTGACCCTAAAAGAACTGTAAGACAATAAACTTGTGCATTTTTAAGCCATTTTGTTGTTATCAACTGGTATCAAGTCAGTCCCTGGCTGATAATGACCCAGGCACAATACAACATAATGTTGCCTGATTCTATACCATTCTCATGATTAACATGGTTATTGAACTGTTTTGATTCAGTCAGAGGGTTTTCATTGGCTGATTTTAAGAAGCAGATTGTCAGGTCTTTTTTCTAGTTCATGTTAGTCTGGAAGCTCCTCTGAAGCCTGTTTAGTATCATAGCAACACGCAAGCTTCCACTGACATATGCTCCACTGCTCCACACAAGAGATGCATTGGCTGGAAACTGGACCTTGGAATCTTGGATGTAGTTAGGGGCCATTCAGTTGACCACAGCTCATAGTGATCCTATGAACAACAGATCACAATCTTTTCTATCTTGCACCATCACCATGATTGCTAAATGCACATGCACATTATTCAGTCATTGTGCTGATACATCTTCTTCGCTTTCACTGATCCTCTGCCTTTCCCAACATGATGTGTTTTTCCACTGGTCCCTCCTGACAACACACCCCAAATACGTGAGATTACTATTCACCATCCTTGCCTCTAAGGAGCACCTTCATTTCATTTCCTTCAAGACAAATTTGCTTTCTTTTGGCAATCCATGGGATATTCTGTCCTCATCACCAACACCACAATTCAGAGGTATCAATTCTTCTTCAGTCTTCCTTATTAATTGTCCAACTTTCAGATGCATAGGAAGTAACTGAAAATACCATGACTTGAATCAAATGCAACTTAGTCCTTAACCTGATATCTTTTCTCTCCAGCACTTTAAAGAAGCATTTTACATCAGATTTGCCCAATGCAATATGATTTTTGATTTCTTGACTGATGCTACCGTAACTGTTGATTTTGGATCAAAATAAAATTAAATCCTTAGAATCCTGGATAGAAGGCAAGAATTCTATCACTGAATCATTACTGCCTTCATTCAGCTACTTAGAGCCCAAATTTCCTCATCTATTTGAGCTGAAACCTTACACATTGAAATGGTAACTATTAAAAATGTTATCCAGCATGAAAATGTTCTTATTACTACCAAATTTTAAACACACAAGCAAAAACAAACAAACAAACAAAAAACCAAATTAATTTTCCATCCCTCATTGACCTGTTAACATAAATGGAGCAAAATTTTTATTTTTATTATTAAGTTTGTGTAATTTCAATACTCCATGAAATCACTTCGTATATGTTGATACACTTGTGCTTTTAGGAGAGAAACACATGTATATTTTTACTTCTCCATCTAGAGCAATGTCATCAAATATTCCCTCTAAAGATTTCCTTACAAAAAAAAAATAAAAAAAAAAACTAAAAGAAAAAAAATAGCACAAGATTTCCTTACAGACCAGCTCCTTCATGGAACACCTGACTGATGCTTTAAGCTACTAAATTGGTGGAAATTTGTTACAGCAACAATTGAAACTAATACACCTAGTGAAGCATTAAGATGAGTGGTTCAAAGTTGAATGTGAGAAACTGGGTGAGGCTCACTCTTGCTGAATTAATCATACATTCATCCAACAATTTTTATGGAGGACTACCAGGTGTCAGACCCTGTTCTAGGTACCAATGAGACAGAAGTAAATAAAAGAGACCGAAAGTCTTGCTGTAGAAAGCTTTACCCTGATAAAAGAAAGACAATAAATAAATATGTTGCATACTGAATAAGAACTAAGAAGGGAAATAGAGCAAGGAATTGTTAACTGGATCTTCCTTGACCCTAGGACCCGCCCACTTATGTGCAAGGACACTCCAGACTAGTTCTTTAGGACTTCCCCTAGTATGCTGCTTCTGTACCAGAGTCATCTTGTTCCTCCACCCACACTTTGCATACAGGAAGTTCTTAGGGTTGGTCCCCACATAGTCCTGGTCACGTTCCAGCCCACAGGCTCCTTTTCCTAAGCAACCACTCTGACAAACACTTGCCCTAAGGTCAAGTTAGCATCTACTGTGAAAGGCAGTGAAGAGATGTTTCAACCCCTGTCTTCCAGCTTTCATGTCCCATTTAAGGAATTCAACCTCCCACATTCATATTTCCATAGGAGCTAAAAGTTGAAAGCACTGAAGTTCCAGATCGACATCCATCTTTAGAGGTTTGGATATTGACTGATTTTTTCAGAACACATTTCACTTTTCCAACTTTCTGTTTGCATCCCCTCTTCTGTTTGTTGAAATTTGGGGCAAAGAAAATCTCCATAGGAAATTGCCCTCTTTTAAAACAGACTAAACCATTCAATGATTTTCAATCATACTCAGCCAGAGCCCCATCCTCCTTCCTTCCATCATCTCCCCTATCCCATCTTAACAACTAAGTCCTGGAAATCCTCAAATGCTTATGGGAGAGAAAGAAGGATAAATGGAAAAAGCCAAAGAATGCAATTCGCCCCACCTTGCTCGCCCACTTGGTCCCTCACCCACTGGGTTGCCGCCTGGATGCTCTCGGCCTTGGTGACATCTAGTAGGATGGTCTGAAGACGGTAGGAGGTTTCCTGTTGAAGCTTCAGGGCTCCCTCCTGAGTGAGGCAAGCAGCCAGGACCCGCATGCCCCGATCAACCAGCTGCTGAGCCAGCAATTTCCCAAACCCCGAGTCACAGCCGGTGATGAAGACATACTTCTCGGAGAGATTTCGAACCACATTGCAGTTCCTAAACCAGCGGTACATAAAGGAGAAGTCCATGGTAGCTGCCAAAAGGCACGGGTGAGGTGACAACTAGGAAGGACCAGGCCAGGAGACAGCAGAGTGGCTGATCCCTGAGCTCCAGCTGGCAGACTACTGTAGCTTGTTGGGAAGAAGATCTCTCCTTCTTTCTACTGCTTGCATCACATAAAGGCACTTGGGTGAGCCACTCTAATTTTTATAGGTGGATGCTTCAGCACACCAATTAGCCTAGATGCAAGAAATTCAAGTCCAACCTGAAGCCTTGTCATCTCTGACAATCCAAGTGGCTGCCTCCCTCTCTCCCCCTGGCCATGGTGATTGAAGCTGCCAAGGATAGAATAGACCCCATTGGTAAGTGGTGAAAAGCAACTTCTCTGGTTGGTGGGATCAGGGGCAAAAAAGCAAGGAGGAGTCAGTTAAAATAGATTCTCTATAAACCCCTAGCCCCTGTCATCCCTAGGCCAAAGATCAAAATAATTTGTCATGAGTACAATCATGTCAATAAATTTAATTTCTACTTTTTGGGGAAAAAAAATAAGACATCCATTAATGCAAAACCCCCCCAAACCTAAAAAAACCCCAAAACACCCCAAAATTGACTTTATATTCTTCAAACCCCCAAAGAAATAATTTTTAGGTCATAACTTTTTTGAGTATCCACTATGAGAGACAATGAGAAGCTAAGGGTTTCCCCAGTGGGTGTGCTTCCACTGTCTTTCAAGTAGGAGAGGAGCTGGGGACAAAAAGGAAATGAGACAGAGTGTGAGGAGACACACCCAGGATTGCATGGGTTGCAGGGACAGAATGATGCTAGGGCAAAGGGTGGTTCCAGGAATCAACCTCCTGAGATTACAGCACCCTATACCTTCCGTGTCTAGAGGATCTGACACAAAATTGTTGATCTGGACAACCCACAAGGGAGAGAGACCCAGGATGCATCTTTATACCCCACAGTCTATGACATGTTGGACAGCCCAAGAATCAGATGAAGGAAGCGCCATCTTGGAAAAGCCCAGCAGGACTTGGACATTCTATATTAAGGGTTACAGGAAGAAGTGTGCAGATGAAGGACCCAGTTCGGGAAACAGACCTGAAGCTGTTAGAGGATGGAAATAAAATGTGGTAGTAGGGAAATTTATCCTACTTTATACCTGCCTCTCACCTGTTACCTCCAGAACTGGATTGAGATGTACCACCCAGTCTGTCTGCCTTCAGAATGAGTGAATGGGGTAGGGAGAAGGTAGGGGATGCCATTTGAAAATTGAGTAGGTTAGTATTCTCAAGTTCTGGAGGCCCGGGAGTTGACTGGACCCTGAGATGGATGACTCAGTGTTGCCTCTACCTAGGCCATTTCTGACCAGCACTTCCAGGACTGTTTGGCTGAAGGACAGCCAAACAATATTTCCCTGGGTTCAAACACCTAACATCAGAAAATTCTATGTGCATACTTGTGGGGAAACTTAAGGATCCCCAAGAAGGGCTCATTTTCACAGGGCTGGAATAACCTCCCACTCTGAAAAGGCAGGCCTTCTAACTCAGTTGTGACCTGAAGGTAACACGCAGATGGTTACTCTCATCAACCCTGTTTGCCCACAACAACTCTTCAGAGGCTTGCTGTAAAAAAGTTGAGCTCTTGTGGGGGCAGTGGTGTCTGACTTTCACCAGTTCACAAGAGGAAAGAATCAGCAGCATCAAACCAATTCCTATGCAATCAGATGCTCCTAGACACCTGTACCTTCTATCAAGTTTAACACCAATCATCTCTTCTAGGACTCTCACTGCTCAATCCTATGTTCATTAATGCACAGCAATGACCACACAGAATTCACAGACATTACTTATGATTATAGGGTTTATTAAAGAAGTAACAGGTTTCAATATGAAAACTGTCATTGTACAATTCTTCAGTCAAGGCAGCTTCTCAGGAATGCTCAGAAGTGGCCTCCCCCTAACTTTCAACCTCATGGCACTGGGCTCTGCCTCACTGCTCTGATTCAGAGTTACAAAACTCTTTTTGATCTGCCAATTATGTGTCTTCTGGCCCCCATCAGGCTTTGAGGGGGCAGCAGTTCAGCTCCATGTCATACTAGTCTCTGCTTCTCTGCACTTCTGTGGTTGCCACTAGTGGTTGTGATCTGGTCTCAATCTTGATCTTTACGGGACTCTCTGACACTTGAGGACATACTGGATTATCTATTTCTTGATAGTAATGACATTCTGTTTTTCTACCTCTGAACCTGTTCAAGTTAAGCTTGGTGAGATGGTAAAACTGAACAATCACCTTATTAGTAGTCAACTCATCTTATTTTCGTGTTTCCTCTATGAAAGTGCTAATTGTTGTTTTTTTTTAAAATTTTATTTTTATTTTTGTGTGTGTCCCGTCAAATCAGATCTGACTGGTACAGGAGGAGATTGTCCCTCCTTTTCCAGCACAGCATCTTTCTGGTAGATTTGAACTGCGGGCCTCTGGGGTTGCAGTGCAGCTTCTTGCCATGAGGCCACCAGAGCTCCCCAGTTATTTTTATTTGAGAGGGAATCTTGAGTTTTATTTTTTAATACATTTTTATTTTATACTGGTTTGCTTACAAAAGTTCTTATGCATTGTTTTTCATACTGTCTTCATTCACATTGTGTTTCATACAATCACTCTCATTCCTTATAGTTTATAAAATTTATCAACACCCCAATATATCCAGCATTGCCCTGTCTTTCCAGATCCCCACTGGATCTTTCCCATTTCCTTTACCCATTCCTCCCTCTACCCGTAAAATTCTGCAACCTTACAATTTCCCCCCTGTCCATCCTCACACCTCTGCTTCTCCCATTCCCTCCTTGGATCCTCATCTTTCTATTTCTAAAATAATAGTCTTATACAGTATATGTCCTTATGGGACTGAGTTAGTTCAGTTAGCATAATGCTCTCCAGTCCCTCCCAACTTATATAGTAATTTTCAAAATCATTGCTCCCACAATTTCTCAATCCATTCGATTGTATTTGGACACCTGGGATGTTTTCCACAATCTTGTGATGGTGAATGATGCTGCTATGGACATTGGTGTACAAGTCTCCGTTTGTTCTAATTTTCTAAGGGTATATTCCAAGCAGTGGAAAAGCTAGGTCATATGGAATTTCTAAGTTCATATTTTTAAGGAAGTGACAAATTGTCTTCTAGAGTGATTGTAACATTTTACAATCCCACCAATAGTGTATGAGAATTCTATCTCTTCACATCCTCTCCAACATCTATTACTTGCTATTATGTTAAACTTTGCCACTGCTACAAGAGTGGAATAATTTCTTATTGTGGTTTTGATTTCATCTCTCTTATTGCCAGTGATTTTGAACATTTCTTCATGTGTCTCTTGGCCACTCAAAAGTCTTCCTCTGTGAAAAGTCTTTACATGTCTTTTTCCAATTTTGTAATTGGGGTATCAGTCTTTTTCTTGTGGAGACCCTATAGCATTTTGTAAACTTTTGCTATGAGACCTTTGTCTGAGATGGTATTGACAAATATTTTTTCCCAGTTGTAGACTTTCTTTTCACTCTGTTGGGAGTTTTTTTTGATGTGCCCAGGGATATAATCTTTATAAGGTTCCATTCATCAATTTCATCCTCTCCTGGTTGTATATTTCTGGCTGTATTTGTCAGCCTTTTATACCATGAGCTAGGTCCTCTAAACTTGGTCCTACTTTGTCTTTTATGATCTTTCTGGTTTGGGGCTTTACCCCTAGGTCTCTGATCCACCTTGAGTTACTTTTTGTGTATGGTGAGAATTGTGCATCCTGCTTCAGCTTTCTGCTTATAGCAGTTCAGTTTTGCCAGCACCATTTGTTGAAGAGGTTGTTATTTCTCCATTGGGTAGATATTGTTTCCTTGTTGAGTATCAGTTGACCATATATAGATGGGTTAATTTCCAGGTTCTCAATTCTGTTTCATTGGTCTTATTTCCTTCTCTTGTCTTATTGCCATTGCCAAGACTTCCAACACAATATTGATTAGGAGAGGTAACAGTGGCCATCCTTGCCTAGTTCCTGCTCTCAAAGGGAATGTTTTTAATTTCTCTTCACTGAGAACAATTTAGGCTCTCGGGTTTGCGGATATGCTTTTTTACTATGTTGAAGAAATTCCCCTCTAATCCTGTTGTGTTGAGTGTTTTAATCAGGATAGGGTGTTGAATTTTTGTCAAAGGCCTTTTCTGCATTCATTGATAGGATCATGTGGTTCTTGTTCTTTGCTTTGTTAATGTGATGAATTACATTGATTGTTTTTCTTATGTTGAACCATCCTTGCATAACTGCTATGAATCCCACTTGGTCATGGTGAATTATTTCTTTGATGTATCATTGGATTCTATTGGCCAGGATTTTATTCAGGATTTTTGCATCTATGTTCATAGAGATATTGGCCTATAGTTTTCTTTTTTGATGGTGTCCTTTCCTGGCTTTGGTATCGAGGATATGCCTGTTTCATCGAATGAGTCTGGAAGAATTCCATCTTTTTCTATTTTCTGAAATTGTTTATGTACAATTAGTGACAGTTCTTCTCTGAATGTTCTATAAAATTCACTTGTAAAACCACCTGGTCCAGGGCCTTTTTTGGCTGGTTGTTGTTTTATTACCTTTTCAGTTTCTTCTTTTGGAATGGGTCTGTTCAGGTGTTCTACTTCGATTTGTGTCAGTTTAGGTAGGTTGTAAATGTCTAAGTATTTGTCCATTTCTTCTAGGTTTTCATATTTGTTTGAGTATAGTTTTTCCACAATATTCAAATGTTAGCCTTTTTATCTTAGTTGGTTCTGTTGTGACATTACCCATTTCATCTCTTATTTGGATAATTTGTGTCTTTTCCTTTGTTTTGCTAGTGGTTTGTTGATTTCATTGACCTTTCCAAAGAACCAACTTCTAGTTTTGTTAATGGTTTCAATTGTTTTTCCGTTTTCTATTTCATTTATTTCTGCTCTAATTTTTTTCTTTTTTTATTTCATTGGGGAAAACATGTTGGGGATACAAGGAGGTGAGGGTTGGGAGCAGAAGGGTGAGGATGGGCAGGGCTGAAAATGGCAGGGATGCAGTTGCATGGCTGCACAATTTGGTTGGTGGGGGGAGCAGGTGAAGGAAATGAAAAGGATCCAGTGGGGACCAGATGATTCAGGGCAATGGTAAGCATAGTCCAATGGTGATTAGACAAACTGTCTTTTTCAGTTGTGGGTTTCTCATTTGGGAATTCGGTGCAGACTCTCTGGCTTCTTCATGCTGAACAGGG